TTTTGGAATATAAGGCTGGTACAGAATTTGAAAGCCAAATAACACATTAATAAACTTGGGTGGTAGAGTCACTTCACCAAGGGAAAAAAAAATAAAGGCATCTGTGTTTTGAAAGAAAATGGCCCCCAAAGGGAGCGGCACTATTAGGAGGTGTGGCCTTGTTGGAGTAGGTGTGGTCTTGTTGGAGGAAGTGTGTCACTGTGGATCAAGGCTTTAAAGTCTCACATATGCTCAAGACACACCCAATGAGACAGACCACTTCCTGTTGCCATACAAGATGTAGGTCTCTCACCTGCTTCTCCAGCACCAATCAGCCTACACACTGCCATGTCCCACCGTGATGACAATGGACTGAAGAATGCAAGCCACCCCAATTAAATGTGTCCTTTTATAAAAGTTACCATGGTCATGGTATCTCTTCACAGCAATAGAAAACCTAACTAAGACATCACCATTCAAGATTTAAAAGAATGGAGGCAACCAACAGTCCTACCCATCTATAATATCTTTGAACCACAACAACCAGCAGGGCATGATAATTATTAGGGTGCAATAATGGTACTCATACCTTAGCAGTAACTAACAGTTCTCTAATTGGAATTAAGACCTGCTTAGTAAGAGGGAAACCATGTACTGGAAACCTAGCCAACTACCCAGGGGAAATCATTTGAAGAACCTACAATTGTCTCTTCACTACACTAGCATAATCCCAATATCTGTCCTTAGGCCCACAGAAAGAGCAGTTCTCACCCTCCACCAAAAAAACTTCTCCTTTGCAACAGAGACCATTACAAAAACCACAACTGATCAAAATGAAATTGTGGAGCCCAATGTCAACTACAACACAACTCCTGCACCTAAAATTCAGGGACATTGTGAAAGAGGGGGCAGAAAGATTGCAAGAGCCAGAGGAACAATGAATTTGCTAGCAATGATTCTCCTAGCAATGTCAAAATATACCCATGAAGTCTCACCAATATGGCTATCATGTTGACAATACCAAGTGACTGTAATTGGCCCCTATAGTTCATAGGGAGTGGTACTATTAGGAGGTATGTCTTTGTGGGAGTGGGTATGGCCTTGCTGGAGGAAGTGTCTGTCACCATGGGTGGCGAGCGTTGAGGTTTCTTATGCTCAGGATACTGCGCAGTGTCTCAGTTGACTCCCTAATGCCTGCAAGATGTAGGATTCTAAGCTACTTCTCCAGTACCCTGTCTGCCTGCATGTCACCATGCTCCCCACTGTCATGATAAAAGGACTGAACCTCTGAAACTGTAAGTGAACCACCACAATTGAATGTTTTCATTTATAATAGTTGCTGTGAAGTTAGGCAGTGGTGGCGTACACCTTTAATCCCAGCACTCGGGAGGCAGAGGCAGGCAGATCTCTGTGAGTTCAAGGCCAGACTGGTCTACAGAGTGAATTCCAGGACAGCCAGAACTACACAGAGAAACCCCATCTTGAAAAACCAAAAAGAACTGCTGTAGGGCTGGAGAGATGCCTCAGCAATTGAGAGCATTGACTGTTATTCCAGAGGACCTGGGTTCAATTTCCAGTGCCCACATGGCAGCTCACAGCTGTCAGTAACTCCAAGATCTGACACCCTCACATAGACATACATGAAAACAAAACACCAATGCACATAAAATAAAAATAAACTATCTTAAAAAAGAGCTGCTGTGGTCATGGTGTCTCTTCACAGCAAGAAAAACCCCAAGACACAAAGTGTCTCTTCATAATTTGTCCCTGGCAATAACTGGTAAGTAGCTATTGTCTCTGTTGTTTTGTTTTTCCTAAATATAAGCACATAGAAGGTACTCTTTGGATCTTAGCATAAACAGTGGAAACTATGGCCAGTTGCCTATTTATATAATGGCTCATATGCAAAGAAAGACTTTTTTTATTTTCTGTTTTGAAACAGGGTCTCATTATGTAGTGTTAGCTGGACTCAAACTCAGAGATCAACCTGCCCCTGCCTCCCAAGGACTGGGATTAAAGCTGTGCACCACCATGTCAAGCAAGACTGATTTTTAAAAAGTTGAGGGGGGAAATCCAAAAGAATAATACTTCATGATTGCAAGTATATGAAGTTCAAATCCAATGTTCATGAGACACGGGAACACTCATTCGTAGACCTGCTACCTGTGGTTGATTACACATTATAGTTGCAAACTACAGTTACAGAGTTATGAGAGACCATATGGCTTGCAGTACCTAAAATATTTACTGTCTGGCCCATTCAGATAAAGTATGGTATAAAGGTACACACACCCACAATCCAATGATTCTTCTGGGTATTTATCCAAGAAAACCTGCAATCTATTTTCATAAAATCTGTACACAAATGTTTACAGTGGCTTTGGTCATGATTGTCTACAACTGAAAAATGCTAAAAGCCCTCTACTGGTCAATAAATAAACTATGGTATAATCCACACACTGAAATATTACTCAACAAACAAAAGAATGAACTACTGACATAAGCAACAAAGGTCAATCTCAAATGTCTTATAAGTCAGCACCAAACTTGTCCTACATAAGGCTAGATAGCAAATATTTAAGATTTGCTGGGTTTTCAAATAACCAATTAAGCATCTAGACGCCTATTTTGAAAAAAGATTTACTTTATCTTTAATTGTAATGGTGTGAGTGTGTACATGAGTGCCATCCCCATAAAAGGCCAGAGGTGTTGGATTCCCCTGGAGTTGGAGTTACACAAAGTTATGAGCAGGCAGTCTGTTAATATATAGATTACTATGGCCATTACACTAACAAGAAACTGTTAAGTCACAGAAAACTGATTGGTCCGCAGCCGCACAAGCACAAAGAGGGCACGAAAGTAGGGAAGCCCACGACCCGTACTGGACCCAAAAGCCAGCCGGGCAGTGGCAGGTAGCCAAGGCTCTCTGAGACGTTTAATGAGAAAATATGAAGGACCGTGGCACGGGAATTCTATACCCAAATGAATGGCATGGAGCCTGATGGTGGCTGGCTAGACCACTGGAGATCTGAGCCCCACGAATCGGGGTGCCAACTGTAGAAGTTAGCGCGATTCGGGAAATAACCAGGCTAGCTAAAAGATAAACGATTATATTTTTATTTATTATAAGAGGGAAAACTCACGAAAGAGGAACGAGAAGTCCAAGCTCAGCTGTGCTGTGCACTGAGGGTACCACAGAGAGCGCGGGGGGGGGGGGGGGGGGGGCACTTCTGAGTGTCCCAGAAAACCACACCCTAGCTTCCCCATCTGAGCATTACCCTGAGAAAGCCAATCTTCATTATGTCTGTGGCCTGCAATTCAAAAATGCTTGATCCATTTGCAGTCTCTGTTTCTACTTCCTTAAACTTTCCCTTTTATAAGAGCCCTCACCGCCCCCCCCCCACCCCAGGATTAAGGTGGATTTTGGACAAGAGCCCTTCATCTTTTAATTGAGCTGACTTTTTGAATAAAACGTCATCATTCTGACTAGGAATGGTGGCACATGTCTGTATTCCCAACACTCTGTAAACTCAGCCTTGAGGCTGGGGTGGAAGGATCATGAGTTCAAAGCCAGACTGGGCGACATAGTGAGTCGCTGACTCAAAACAAAGCAAGTGCCTGGCCATTAATCTCAGCACACAGGGGCAAAAGCAGGCATATCCCTGTGAGTTCGAGGCCAGTTTGGTCTGGATAGCAAGTTCTAAACCAGCCTGGGCCATACAGTGAGATCCTTTATCAAAAGACAAAACAACCCAAAAATATTGCCGCCTTTACTTTGATGCCTTGTCTCTCAACTGAACTGGCTTGTCCTACAAGAAACAACCCAGGACATTTCACCCCGTTCCCAACCTATTCTTCGGTCTTTCCTTTGATCCCGTGAGTTTTATAAGCTTTTCTATATTCCCTTTTCACCTAAGTCAGAGTGTACTCCATCTGTCTCACAAAAAGCTGAACTGAGGGCAGGAAAGGCACTTGCTGCAAAGCTTGATGACCTTAGTTCAATCCCTGGAACTCACAAGGTGAAAAGAGAAAACTAAGCTGTCCTCTGACGTTAATACACATGCATATGTGTGTAGTGAGGAGCAGCGGGCTGTGTCCCGCCACTCGGCTAGCTCTACACCTGAAACAATTACACGGAAACTGTATTCTTTTGAACTGCTTGGCCCATTAGCTCTAGCCTCTTATTGGCTAGCTCTCACATCTAGATTAACCCATTTCTAATAATCTGTGTACCACCACAAGGTGGTAGCTTACTGGTAAGATCTTAACCTGCGTCTGTGTAGGGTGGGAGAATCATGGCAACTGCTTGACTCAGCTTCTTTCTCCCAGCATTCTGTTCTGTTTACTCCGCCTACCTAATTTTCTGTCCTATCAAAGGGCCAAGGTAGTTTCTTTATTTAACCAATGAAATCAACACAAAACAGAAGACTCCCACATCATATGTATGCTTGCTTATACATGCACACAAAAGAAATAAGTAAATGTAAAAGAAAAAATGTCTAAAGAAACAACTGATTAAACAAATTTTGTACATTCTGGAAATTTTTGAACAGTGTTTAGGTTTAGTGTCTATTACATAAATAAAAATGATGAAAACAGGGCCTGACTTTGTGGCGCATGTAATCCCAGCATTCAGGAGGCAGAGGCAGGCAGATCTCTGTGAGTTCAAAGCTAACCTGGTCTACATAGAGAATTTCAGGACAGTCAGGGCTACACAGAACGATCCTGTCTCAAAAAAAAAAAAAAAGGATTGGGGGCTGGAGAGATGGCTCAGAGGTTAAGAGCATTGCCTGCTCTTCCAAAGGTCCTGAGTTCAATTCCCAGCAACCACATGGTGGCTCACAACCATCTGTAATGGGATCTGGTGCCCTCTTCTGGCCTGCAGACATACACACAGACAGAATATTGTATACATAATAAATAAATAAATATTAAAAAAAAAGGATTGCAAAGATACTATTTCAGACTCAAATTGGTGTGTTCTCCTATCATCATAAAATGCAGTTTATCATATGGAATACCTGTGGCCCAGTAGTAAATATCCCAGTCATTGCTAGGCTCGTTAATCAGGCGATCATAGAGGTTCAGCTGCTTCTCTGTCATGTTGTGCAGATATTCTTTAGCAAAGAGGCTAAAAATGAAAAGGAAAATGAGGCTGACAAGACTGCCTTATTAAAGAGAAGTGACACCCCGAGTCCTCTTCCCTACTACCTAAGAAGAATGCAGTTCTCCAGCATCCCCCTCTTTCTGCTCTCATAGAGCAGGCGGGCTCTTTTGGTTTCTATGGATTCATCAGTTCTCTCCTGCCATGGAGGCAAAGGGATTTCAATCATGTCTTTTTGAGAATCTGTTGGGCTGTCACCTCTGTAGAATCGTCTGAATGATGTCACACTGAACAAAGGAGACAGCAGGCTCTGCTTTGACAGCGCCTGAAACAAACCACAAACATCTTTATAAGACAATGGTTACTATTACTGCTATTTATTCAACACATAAGGTGCTAAGTGCATTAGATTTCACTTAGTCCTTCTGCTGATTCTGGTCCCTTTATAGCCAAGGGAACAGAAACCAATGAATCTAAGACTTAGAGGGGATAGTCTCTGAAATAGAACCACAGACACATGTTCATAAATTGAGCAACATCTCACTCTACAAGACAGAATAAATATTCCAGAAGTATTCTTAATGAATCTTTCGAGAAATTATCCCAGCTGAAGCACGTCTCCTTTTGTGTTCCTTTAAAACTGTGTATTTGCGTTCCAGTTACTCACCTGTTAAACCCTGAGGATACCTAGATCTCTAAAGACTCCAGACCTAAGAAGGGCATAAACTCTAAAACATAATGAGAAGGGTGGGATGATGGCTCAGTAAGTAAAGTGCTTGCTGTGCAAGCATGAGGAGCTGAGTGCAGACCATGTAAGAGCCAAGCATGGCCAGGAATGACATCCTTCAGCTGTAACCCCAGTACAGATAGATCCTAACAACTTATTGGTCAGGGAGTCTAGCCAAAACAGAGAGATTATGTCTCCAAAATAAAGTGAAAATAGAGGAAGACACCTGAAGTTGACTTCTGGCTTTCACACATAAACTCTGGCAAGCACTCTCCTCCCTTCTCTTTCTTCTCTCACATACACACAATTATATCACACACATACACAATTTCTTAAAAAAGATATAATGGGGGGTCGGGGCTATGGCGGTGGCAAATTCAAGTCCAGTCAATCCGGTGGTCTTCTTTGATGTCAGCATTGGCAGCCAGGAAGTTGGTCGCATGAAGATCGAGCTGTTTGCAGACGTGGTGCCTAAGACGGCAGAGAACTTTAGGCAATTCTGCACTGGAGAGTTCAGGAAAGATGGTGTTCCGATCGGATACAAAGGAAGCACCTTCCATAGGGTCATAAAGGATTTCATGATTCAGGGTGGAGATTTTGTTAATGGAGATGGTACTGGAGTCGCTAGCATTTACCGCGGTCCATTTGCAGATGAAAATTTTAAACTTAGACACTTGGCTCCAGGCCTGCTTTCCATGGCAAACAGTGGTCCCAGTACAAACGGCTGCCAGTTCTTTATCACATGTTCTAAGTGTGATTGGCTGGATGGGAAGCACGTAGTGTTTGGAAAAATCATTGATGGACTTCTGGTGATGAGAAAAATCGAGAATGTTCCCACGGGCCCTAACAATAAGCCCAAACTGCCAGTGGTAATCTCCCAGTGTGGGTAAATGTAATCTAGACCAAGACTGAACCAGGTCTTCAGTGTTGGGTGACACTCCCCTTGAGTCTGACAAGCTGGACTGACCTCTGCCTCCACAGTGTGTGAACCAGGACCTGGAAGTCTCACAAATCAAAATCAAGATCTTGTTTAAATTTTGAACTGTAAATAAAGGATTTAAAAAAAAAAAAGACATAATGGTAAGGTGGTAATGTAGACAGAAGTTTCTGTCCCACCTGGTCCTACACTCGTTCAGTCCCAAAGAAACACACAGAGGCTTATATTAATAATAAACTGTTGGGCCTTATTAGCCCAGGTTTATTATTAACAAGCTCTTACAACTTATGTTAACCTGTAATTCTTGTCTATGTGTAGCTATGTGACTTGGTTCCTTTTCTCAGTAAGGCATTCTCATCTTGCTTCCTCTGTGTCTGGCTGGTAACTGCATCTCTACCTTTCCTCTTCCCAGAATTATTAGTCTGGTTGCCCACCTAAACTTCCTGCCTGGCTACTGGCCAATCAGCGTTTCATTAAACTAATACGAGTGACAAGTCCTTACACTGTACAAGAGAATTATCCCACAGCATGGTAATGTTAGCAAGAAGGCAGAATAGGAAGACTCACATCCTCCTTGACGCCAAACCCTTCCAATAGAGATACTGACTCAACAACTCACAAATCTATTCCCTCTATAAGAAGTCTGGGAAATAGGCTCCTGCTCCCCAGATTAGTACAAAATCAGCTGCCAACAGAAAAGTTGCAGACTAAACATGCCATAATCCTGTTATAGTGGTATATTATTTGTGTTTTAATAAATAAAGCATGCCGAAAGTTCAGACAGCAAAGCAGCCATACTAGTCAGCCATATAGGCCATGAGTGGTGGCACATACCTTTAATCCCTGGACTCAGGAGACAGAGGCAGACAGATCTCGTGTTCAAGGCCACCCTGGGTTATACAAGATTGAATCTGTCTAAATGGAAAACAGAATTCACACAAAGGTGATCTTTAATCCCAGCACTAGAGAGGTGGAGACAGGAGCAATAAGGTTGGACGGAGAAAGAAATAAAAAGGGGAAGAGATAGGAACTCAGTGGAGTATGGAGTCTTTAGGATGCTTAGAGATAGGATCTCACCCATTTTTGGTCTAAGGTAGAGGTAAGAGCCAGTGGCTGGCTGCTTTGCTTTTCTGATCTTCAGGTTGAACCCCAATATCTGTCTCTGGGTTTTTATTATTTGTGCTAAATCCTGTTTTCCCCAAAACTTCCCCCATACCACCATCCAAGCACAAGATGATAGGGAGAATATTCCAACACCAGACTTCTACCTAGGAGGGAAAGGTAAGACTCCTAGAAGGTATCCAAACAAGCTAAATCTAAGTGCTATAGGAAGGGGCACCTGGCTGAAAGCTGTAGCAAACAAAGGTGATGGTTAACACCAGCAGCATTCTCTTGCCATGGTCCCCATTCCTGCCTTACTGTAGAATGAAAAAAAAAAATCACAACTCCCAGCTTTTCCTGGGGAAGCAGAGCTGGGGTGGCCATCTAATGCTCCAGTGTCTCAGGGGCTGCCTATGGGACTGGTTTTTTGTCTCTCTTGCCTCAGAACAGTAACAGGACACAACCCATTCGAGACACTTAGGGACCATGGAGACCAAGAGAGCTGAGCTGCTTACTTTTGGTGCGGAGGAAACCTTACATAGCAGACAAAAATCTAGTATTGTTTGGGAGCCTCTTCCCCAGGCTCAGGGAATAGTGGAGCATATGGCTAATGTTCTAGAGCATGGGGGTTGATATTCCTTAAGGGACTGGCTGGTTTCTATTCTGAACAACTTACAACACTAATAGAACCAGCAAACTCTAGAAGTCCAGCAGCCACTGAGCATAAGAGAGCAGAACAACTAGCTAGGTATGGTGCCTCATGCCTCTAATTCCAGCACTTGAGAGGGTAGAGCAGGGCTACTATGAAGCTAAGGGACTATAGTACCATACAAAACAGAGAAGGCGAGGAAAGGAGGAAGAGGCTCTGAGCAACTTAACAGTGGTTACAAAGAAACTATAGAACCACAGACACTACGGAAAGCTGCTGATTATGAACTGATAGAGGAAGGCAAAGGTGCTTGTTGCCAAGCATGAGGACCTGAGTTCTAACCCCAGAGCACATACACACAGAAGACAGACACATACATTCACAGAGAGGCAGAGACAGACACACACACACACAATATTAAGAAAGAAAGAAAGAAAGAAAGAAAGGAAGGAAGGAAGGACGGACTTCCAAACTTTGGAAAAAGAAATGGACATTCAAATTTGAGAAGTTCAAGAGACCTCAAGTATCATGAACCTAAGGAAGTCCATACCAAGGCATAAATTGTTCAGCAAATCAGAAATGTACATGTATAAAGAAAGGCCATGCGAGGGCACAATGGAAAAGTGGCTATCTGCAAGCCATGGAGTGAGACCACAAGAGAGAATAGCTGTACTATCATCTTCACCCTAGACTCCAGTCTCCAGAACTTTGAAAACAGACATTTCTGTTGTAAGGTAGCTCCAGTAAATGAATACAGCATGCTTTGAAAGCTCAGTTTCCTATGCCACAGCCTAAGCATTCTAGGCCAGCATCTCTAGGAAAAGGCACATGAAAATACATTTTAGGGGCTGGAGAGATGGCTCAGTGGTTAAGAAGACTGGCTGAGTTCTGAGTTCAATTCCCAGAACCACATGGTGGCTCACAACCATCTATAGTGGGATCTGATAACTTCTTCTGGCATAAAGTTGTACATCCATCTAGAACACTTATATACGTAAGTTTTAAAAAAAGAAAACGCATTAAAAAATTTTTGTGTGCAAACGTGGGTGCATGTGTAGAGGTCAGAGGAACATCTCAGGTGTCAGTCTTCACCTACCTTGTTTTGAGAGTTTTCTTTGTTGTTTTCTATTGTGTGTGCCAGCTAGCTGGCTTGTGAGCTTCCAGGGATTCTCTCATCTCTACCTCCCATCTCATCATAGCAGCACACTAGGCTGGCCTTGAACTTACTAAAGAACCTTAAATTTCTCATCCTCTTGCCACCAATTTCACAGTGCTAGAATTAGAAGCACATGGCAAACTCAGGACTTTCATGCATGAAGTGTTGTACAGCAATCTCCCCTATGATAAAACCTCCAATTTTGGAGGGAAGCTCATTAAAACACAGAATGTTGCTGTTGTTTTCTTTCTCTTCTTTTCTTCTCCTCCTTCTTCTTCATCATTATCACTATGTAGTCCTAGCCAGCCTGGATCATTACCATCACCATTACCATCATCACTATGTAGTCCTAGCCAGCCTTGATCATCATCATCATCAACATTATCACTATGTAGTCCTAGCCAGCCTTGATCATCATCATCCATCATCATCATCAACATTATCACTATGTAGTCCTAGCCAGCCTGAATCATCATCACCACCACCATCATCATCACTATGTAGTCCTAGCCAGCCTGGATCATCATTATCATCATCATCATCATCATCATCATCATCATCATCATCATCATCAACATTATCACTATGTAGTCCTAGCCAGCCTGGATCATCATCACCACCATCATCATCACTACTATGTAGTCCTAGCTGGCCTGGATCATCATCAACATCACCACCATCACCATCATCATTATCATCAACATCATCACTATGTAATCCTAGGTGGCCTGGAACTTGACATCTAGATCAGGCTGGTCTTGAACTCAGAGACCCTCCAGTTTCTGCCTTATGCTACCACACCTAGCCAAGACACAGAATGTTCTAAAGCAAGGTAATATATCCTGTCCTACAGGGATGCTCCTTAAGCTCAGGAAGTAAACAACTCAAAGGTTTCAGGAAGTCTCTAAAACTAACCAGCAATACAAGGCCATGCCCTCCTCACATATAACTTTAGCTCCAGGGGTCCAACAATCTCTTCAGCTTCAGTTGGTAGCCATACTCACAAGTGTGTGAGTACACACACACAAACTTTAAAATAAAATCTTCAAATAAAAGCATACTCTGACATCAATACCCCATACACAAGGAGTAAAAGAGAGAAGTTTTTGTACGCAGTTAAAATTATCAGTTTAATAGACTTAGAAAATATTCTAGGTAAGCCCCCTAGTACCACAATGAAAACTCCTATAGAAGAGACTCAAAAGAAAATGAGATTGCTGAGGCTAGAAAGATAGTTTAGCAGTTAAGAGCATTTACTGCTCTTATGTAGGACTGGGATTTGGTTCCCAACATCCACAGCAGGTGTCTCATACCCACCTGTAACTCCAATTTCAGAAAATCCAACACCCTCCTCTGGCCTTCATGGGCACCTGGACACTTAGTAGACATAAACTTATGAAAACACATACATATACTTACATTTTTAATCTAAAAGAGGAAGAGAGAGAATGGAAGGAAAGAAGGAAGGAAGGAAGGAAAAGGGAAGAAAAGGGAAGGGAAGAAAGAAAGAAAGAAAGAAAGAAAGGAAAAAGAAAAGGAAATTCCCTACATGCCGAGACCCTGGGTTTGGGACTTAGCACAAAAAACAAAACTGTCACACGAGATGAAGAACATTATATAGTATTAAGGGTTAGCAAGGCCGGGCAGTGGTGGCGCATGCCTTTAATCCTAGCACTCAGGAGGTAGAGGCAGGCGGATCTCTGTAAGTTCGAGGTCAACCTGGTCTACAAGGGCTAGTTCCAGGACAGGCTCCAAAGCTACAGAGAAACCGTCTTGAAACACAAACAAACAAAAAAAAAAAAGTTAGCAAGAAGGTCTAACAATTATAACTATATGTAGACCTGACACTAGAGAACTCAGATCTATAAAACAGGCAGGGACAGACCTAAAGGGAGAAAAAAAAGCAACAGACAGATTTTAATACCATACTTTCAATAAGGGATGGGACATCCAGACATAAGCTAAGTTTATCTAACTGAGATATACAGACATTCTACAAAACGGACCATGCATTTCTCTCAAATGCATGGATGGATGAACATTCCCAAGAGCTTGACAAATTTAAGATAAATCCTAACTACCTTTCACCAACACTAAAATAAAACCGGAAAACTCACAAACATACAGATATTTAAAACCACACATTTAAACAACCAAAATGTTACAGATTAAAGTCTACCATATAAGAAAGTGAAGACCAAAACAGTACCTAGATGTAAATTTATAGCGGCAAAAGGTTAAGCTTTGAAAAAAAAAAGGGTGTGTGTGTGTGTGTGTGTGTGTGTATGTTGATTCAAGCCTATATTCCTAGTACTTGGGAGGATGAGGCAGGAGAATTGCAAATTTGAGGCCAGCCTGAGCAACACATTAAGACTGGCTAAAAAGGAAAAGAAAACACTAAAGAGTTTAAGAATGGGGCTAGAAATGGGCTTTTGGAGGCGGTTCGGTAACTGTGCCTGGGAACGTAGGTAAGATCTGAGTTTTCTCGATGACTGACGACTTAACCACATATTACCAAGTGTTATGCTCGAGCACACCGTGCGCTCAGCAAAGACTGGAAAATGACCAGCATGTCCAGCGCCTGTTTGCGCCTCGCCCTGGGGGGGAATCTTTCCCTTGAGGGGTTGTGGGGTAATTGAACTCTTCCTACAGTCTCCACGACACAGAGGAGGACAAAACAGTCCTAGCTGTTGCCCGCCCCGAACCCTAAATCTTCGGCTATCTCACCCGCGCCAGCGTCGGGATCAAGGTGACCACCGCCATGTCTCCCTACAGCACCGGAAGCTCCCTACAGCTTCCGGGAACTCCCGGCGGGCAGTCTGCGGATTTCACCAGTGGAGGTGGCCCTCGAGCCGGAAGACGCGTCCCAGCGTACGGCGGAAGTAGCGGTGCGTGTGACGCCGCCGGCGGGGGGGGGGGGCGGGACCTGGGGCGGAGAGCGGTTCGCGCGCTTCGGGCCTAGTCGGGACTCTCCGCGGCCGCCGCCATATTCCCGGTAACGGGGGCGCGCGGCCGGGGGCCGGAAAGAGGGCCGGGGCTGGCGCCGCGGCGGGGAGGGGGTCGGTTGAGGTTGCGGCGGAAGGCGGCGGGTGGAGGGAAGCGCGGGCCTCTGAGGGAGGGGCTGAGATCCTGGAGCTGTGGGAGGGAGCCGGGTAGGCCTAGCCGAGGTCGAGGACCGGGCCCGGTTGGAGTGGAAGCGGCGGTAGTTTCCGGGCCCGCTGGGGGACTCCGGCTTCGGCCGCCCCCAAGGCCTAGCAGGTGCGGCGGGCCGAGCTTGCGGCCTTCGCCGCCATGGTTCGTCACAGCACGGCCCGGGGCCCCTCTCGAGAGTCAAGGCCTCGACTTGGCGGTGGCGCCACAGGCAGCTACGGGCGCCGAGTCGGCGCAATTCGGGTCGGGCCCGCGGGTGATGGGCAGCGAGCCCCGCGAGCCCGGGCGGCCTGGGAGAGCTGGGGGCGGCGCGAGGCTGGGGGCGGGGCGGAGCGGGTGGGGCCGGGCTCTGGCTGCCGGGATGCTGCCTCTCCGGGCACGAGAGGTTGGCGACCACTGCCCTCCTCCCAGCCTGGGACCCTCGTGCCTTAAAATTTTTTACCCTTTTCTGAATACCGTAGTGGCATCTTTCTTACTTTGTCCGTTCTCCGGGCTCGAGAGCGTATTTCCGGAGCCATGTCAGAAGGAGTGGACTTGATTGATATATACGCTGATGAAGAGTTCAACCAGGTAAGAGGAATCAGCAGCAGTTTGGGGTTTCCTTCATCAGTCTACTGGCAGTGATTTCTCTATCAGCTCAAAATGATTATTTTTACTATTGAAGCGTTTCCCCCTAGCGGAGGCTTTGAAGACGACTGACCGTTTCATGTTAATTGAACCTCCAAGCTTCAATTTTAAAGGGTTGCTTTAAGAGCAAATAAAAAGCCAAGTGTAATAGAATGATGAATCAGCCTGTGGAATTTGTTTCCCCAAGTCATTCCAAAGCTGAATGACTAACCATAATTAAAACTCAAAATTACATTTGTTGCAGTATTGTGTGGATAATTTTGATACTTGTTACTTTGCTGTTCTCTCAGCTTGGGGCTTCAGAATGTTAGCCCCTCCCCCTGCTAGTCCCCTCCTAATGGTGCAGACAGCACAAGAGATAACTTCGAGAGACATGGTATAAAATGTACTTTAAAGATGGGGTTCCCGCTTCACTTCTTTTTAAATAGCTGGACTGTGTCTTGAGAAGTCTGTGGGCAGTTGTATCTTTGCGATTATTACAATACCAGGGAATTTATACAAATGTTTCTTGAAATAGTAATGTATACAGTTGAGTTCTGTGATCTTGAAGGCAAAGCTCAACTGATACTTTCTATTTAAAACTTTAATTATCTTACCTGGGTTCTTCAGAACTGTTATCCTTAAGCAAACTGCTTCTGACCCATTGGTGTATTCCAGTGGGTACACGAAAGGACCTGGGAAGATTGGGCTAGAGAAGTAGCATGCCTGGCTTGGACTTTGACTTTGATAGGAGCAACAAAGAGGCTCTTGTGCTCCGTTATTTTATTTTCAGTAGTGTGTGGGGGGGTATATGCATGTGAATTCAGGTGCCCAAGGAGCCCAGCAATCTGGGATCCCCTTGGAGCTGGTGTTAAGGTGGTTGTGAACCGCCTGGTGTGGGTTTTAGTGACCAAACTCGGCTTCTTTGGACAAACAGAAAGTGCTTTTAACTACTGAGCCCTCTCCAGTCTTGCCTTCCTGAGTTCTATGCATTTGTTTGAATCAGATTTTCACCATTTGAAATTTACGCCTTTGTCATTAATTAACAACTCTCCTAAAAGATGGTGCCCCCAAATTCTGAATCTGTATTGTTGACTGATACTGCAACTCATTCTCTCTGGAGAATAGAATCCTTGACCACGGGCCATGTTTGATTTTAAAAAAAATTAATAATTGATTAAACAGTATAGTATGACTTGAGGGTGTCATAAATAAGACATAGTTCTTGTCCGGTGGTCATTACTTTGTCAGGGTAGACATTATTAACCTCAGTAATTTGTTCCTTAATTAGCTTTTTTTAAAAGGACTTATTGATCTAAAACCAAAATTAGTGTATGGACTAATTAGTGTGTGGAGTCTTAGTTGTACCAAACAGGCAGTGTTTGATACTGGGAAAATTGAGACAAGTATAGATTTTGAATGTTTTATGTTCTAGAAGTAGAGAAGGGTTACCTCATCCCCATAAGTTAATTTTTGGCAAAGCTGATTTTAGTGTAAGCTGGAAGCTGCTAAATGGTTAAAAAGTCTGGGTGGAGTTGTTAGAGGTTGGCTTGGATAGAAGGCAGTCAGTATAAACTGAGTTGTTGAATGTCTTAGGACAGTTATTGATTTGCCCCAAGCTAGCCCTGCATACAGCTCCCTCAAGAGCACTTTGCTCCTAAAAGGAAATTAGCACATTTATTACATGGAACCCTGTATTTGCTTCTGATCTCTGGCAGCATGTACTGCAAAAACCTTTTGCCGAGATACTTTATTGATGTTGCATCGGGAGCCCTGGGATTCACACTACTCTACTGGACAGGGGAAAACTAAAAAGGTGCCACTCTAAGTTGTCTGTTTGTTCCTTCTCATGCTGAGATGGGCTTTATAGTATGCTTGGTTCTACATCAAGAAGGATTTGAACTACTACTTGTGTTTCCTTAGCAGCACTGCCAGAGGTACTGATTGAGTTGTTGGGGGAGTGGGAATCCCTGTGCTGGAAAATTGGTGCCATTCCTAGTGGCTAAAAGTAAAAGTGATATTAGCTTGATGTGGTGATACTCAGCATTCATAAGCTGAGTGCTCCAAAGACTAGGGCAGTATTGCTACAAATTGAGGCCAGCTTGGCTACAATGTGAAACTGTTAGAATTCTCCCCTTCTCCCAACAACAACAAAAGTTGTAAAATAATAGTGATAGTAACAATGCAGCATAAGGGGCAACAGTGATGGGGGAGAGGTATAAGATGAGAACTGTGGAGATGTGAGCGTGAGGCCCAAAATTGATGTGGTCTTCTAATGAAAGAAAAAGTAACCAAGAGTCAAAATGGTTGCACTGAGAAAAATGTATTTAAGTTAGTTACTTCATTGGGTCAGATACCAAGAAAGAGATAGAAAGTAGGAACATTGAGTGTATTAGAGGGCAAACTCAAACTCCTAATAGGACATTTCATGAGATAACTGTGGCTTTGTGTATGTGTGTGTCCTTGAACACAAAATTGTTGCTGCGATGTTTATTCAGTATTGATTGCATATTTCCAGTTTAAACTTAGAATAAAAATTTTTAGCATTACCACCTATAAAATGTGGATGTATTTCTTTTATAGGATAGGTGGGTTTTTGTTTTAGCCCAGGCTGTCCTGGAACTCACTGTAGACCAGGCTGGCCTCCAACTCAAGAGATCCACCTGGCTCTGCCTTCTGAATGCTAGGATTGAAGGCGTGCGCCACCATGTCCAGCTACCACTAGCTTTTTTTAACTGTGGTTCATGGCCCAGGTAGACCATTGAAACTTGGAACATTCAGATTCATTTGATTTTCTTTCTGAAGTGGTGATCTACAGAAACAAGGTCCTCTAGGATTGAGCCTGTTTTGTTCTTTTAGAGATTTTGAAAGAGTCCATTGATTGCCTTTAAGCTAACAGTATGAAAAGATTCCCTCTGATGTGTTTGCTCTACAAGTTGAAATGTTATTGACTCACTGACTTTTTTTTTTTTTTAGTCTAGCCAGTTTTCAGTGATGGCATTTGTCTTACAACTTTTAGGTACATCTCTAAATCCCAGATACTGCATAAAAGGAATCCTAGTTTTCTGGCATTGAATATATGAAATATTGTTATTTCCTTATTGTCTTTACGTTTCATTTGAAAATCTCTTTCACTTTTAAAAAGCCTTAGTGGGAGGTATAAAGTCTAGTTCTTAATATCTTTCAGGGATTGGTCGCAGAATCTTTCTCCTTAACAAAATATTCAGGTGCTTAAATCTTAAATATAAAAAACAAAAACGATTATGGGTATGATGGAATAGCCTGTAAACCTGGCTACTGAGGAGGTTGAGGCAAAAAGAAAAGGGATCACAAGTTCAAGACCAGTCTTCTTAACTTAGCCAGACCTTATCTCAAACTTTAAAGAAAAAAATTAAGATACAGTTCAGTGGTAGAGATCTTGCCTAGCATGCTCAGAACCACTTGGAGGAGGTATTTTTGCATAGAAAATCTTTATACATTCCTTCCCTATGCTTTAAAAAAATCTTCAGATTATGAGAATGATTATTTCACCTGGGCTAAGACAAGCCTTGTCTTTTGCTCAGTAAGAGTTCTACGTTGTGGTTTTAAATTTTTTCATTTACTTTTATGCGTGTGGGTGTTTTATGCATATACAAAAAAATACATATTTTTATGCGTGTGCCTGTGTGTGTGTTTATACACCATGTACATGCATTGCCTTCGGAGGCCAGGGAAGAGCACCTCATCCCCTGCATCTGGAGTTGTGAGCTGCCAGTAGATGCTGGGAATCAAACCCTAATCCTTTGGAAGAGTGGTCAGTGTTCTTAACCACTGAGCTATCTCTTCTGCCCGTCTTTAAAAAGGTTTTAAAGGATGTTTTCAGCTGATATTTAGCTGGCTTTGTCTGGATGGAAAATTAACAGATATGGAGAGTTAAGTGTAGTGGCTTCTGAGGATTAGAGCATTGAACAAGATAGAGTCATCGAGTCCTTTTAGGAGGAGGGGATTTTGGTGATTTACTTATATTTTTACATTTGTATATGGCAAGTGTGTTGAGGTCAGATGACAAAACTTTTCTTCCACCATGTGGGTCCTGATAATTGAACTCATCCATTGAGTCATCTCACTGG